TATATATATCTGTGTGCAGGAGGGAAAACAAATCATCAATTTAGGGTGGGTCTTAACGGGTTCGGATTTATGTTCGGATTTATGTTCGTATTTTTTCTTTGGGCGAACCTGTCGTTCAACCGTGTCCCACGATAAAATTTTGGACTGATTTTCTAAAATGGACAAAGTTTGTTTACATACTAACCAATCACAAAGCTTGTGAAGTTGAACACAATTCCTAGATTCAAGTACGTATTTAAACCGCAAACATGAATTTACGTAGAAAAAATCCGAATCCTGTATATCCGATCCGAACGTAAATTTTCCTTAAGGGGTACGACACCCTCGAAAGATTGCCCTCGTTCGGATTTATGTCCGGAATATTTTTATCAGATTTATTTTGCTTTTAAAAAACAATTTAGCTACTACCCATTGGTGTAGAGAAAGTCCGAACATAAAATCCGAACATATTTCCGAACCCGTTTTAAGACAGGCACTTAGTTTTTTGAGCAAAAAAATATATATAATACATGAGCAGACAGCACTCACAGTCAAAGGACACAGGACGGTCGCCATAGCAGGTCTCCTACCGTTTTATGGCATTTTATTTTCTAAGAAAGCTAAAAAGCTCTCCCAATACATGCCATTTTTATTATTTTAAAAACGATGACATTTTTTTAAGACAAAGGATTAAACGTGTTTGACATTTGTCTACAAAGACTAAACGTGTTTGACATTTGTCTACAAAGATTAAACGTGTTTGACGCTTGTTAGATAAATATAGACATTTTTAAAAATAGACATGGATTGCCTTCTTGAATCTTCAATTATTCTCTCGCGCACACTCTGACCTAGTACAATCGGACGATATTTATTCAAAATATCACTCTATGCAGCAGCCAAAAGCGCGATCCAATGTCCTAAACCTTATTTTTTGGGCCATTCTCTCCTTGATAATTTAAAAATAAAAAAGATACAATATTTGTATAAATAATAAACAAAATAAAGTTGTCGCAAATATAGTTTTGAATCATAAAGGAACTATCTAAATTAGGTAAGAATAGCCTTGGATTACGCAATCAGCAAATTACTATTTTTTTTGCAGGCGGTAAATAGTAGATAGATAGAAATACAATTATTTGGTATTCTTGTTTCCAAATCAATCGGGAAAATATATAATAAATAAATTCAAACGTAGGGCGATAAGAATCGGGGTTGTTTTATCATACTGTCACTGTGATACGCTATTCATCTTTGGAGTTTGGAGTTTGGAGTTTGGAGTTTTGGACTGTGCCAGCATTTCAAAATTACCATAGGAGTGGTCACTGGTGAGTGGACCTGAATATTTTGAGAATGTTGACTTGATATGTTCTGTTCCCGTTTTATCGGTTCCGAGAGACGGTGGTATTTACTCATTGTCCCTATGGTAGATTTGTTTCAGAATACAGTGTGATTATAGGCATTGGAAGAATGAAGAATATAAAGAGTATTCGCAGGAAATTTACTCCGGAATTCGGACGTTTCATTTCATAAATATTCATGCGTAATTTACTAAATTTGCGACCAGCCTTTCTAAAATTGTTCGTTTGTCGTATTCCTAATAAATCTGTAAAAATCATCCGCGAGAGAGAACGTTCAGGTACAGTGGCAGTCACTGACCACCGCGGTCGCGCAGGACGCTTTATATTTATACTATTTATATATAGAAATAAATGAATAGGGAAGTGTCGAGTTGTTGACTGTCGAGTGTCGAGTGTCGAGTGTCGAGTGTCGAGTGTCGAGTGTCGAGTGTCGAGTGTCGAGTGTCGAGTGTCGAGTGTCGAGTGTCGAGTGTCGAGTGTCGAGTGTCGAGTGTCGACTTTGGGGACGAGTCTTCGACACTCTTCGTGTGTGTGTAAAATATGATTCTATGAAGTATGAGACTTGTTGAGACTTGAGAGTTACTCCTCTTGAAAATCTTGTTGAGTACAGTATGTAAATATTATATTTGAAAAAACAAACAAACAAAAAAAACAATTAGTATGAATGGGTTATAAATATATATCTATTTTGAACCATTTAAAAAATATATATGCCAGTGCGTGGTTTACAGTGGCCAGTGGCCACTGCGTGTCAGTAACAATGGCTGGGTCCCTGGGCCGTGGGCGGTGAGGCCTGGGGCAGTCTTGGGCTGCGAAGTTTGCCTGTGACGTGACTGGCGGGCGCGGCGCCGCGGCCTGTGTTACGTTGAAAAAAAGTATATAAAAATATATATATATAAAATAAGTAAAAGGAATATGTATATTTTTATTTTAATATTTTGTTGTTGCCAATTCTCTTCTTCTCTTCGTCTTGTGTGTGATACTTTTACTTTATCCTAAACGAGACAAGAGTCAGATTTGCAAGCTCACCAAGAAGCAAACAGAGTATGCCATTCATACGACTACTCATTACACGGCTAATTTCACAGTACACAATTGAACACATAATACAGGATTGACTACACACAACACTGAGGTATAGTTATAGCTATCAAGGTAACGACCTATAGGCACCCAATACAACTCTATAACACAGAGAATAACGAAAGGGGCACGCAGAGAGCACACGCATGTGCTACCCTGCGAATATGGTCTCTCGAATAGACTCACGCACGGAAGCTGACCACCGAGGTGCAGAGGCACTGTTGTACTTTGTCTCAAATGTCCACTTGTCTAATGATAACTCACGCGCGCAGTCGCCCAGTGAGAGTCCCTACGACGCTGAGAACGACAGAGACGCCAACAGCTCGGGAGATGAATGCCAGTTTACACTTGATTCACAAGAGCGCTCACATAAAGACTCGCTTGCTTATAAAAACGATACAGCCACGTTTTCAAACTCACAAGCACAGACAGACGCAAAGACAGCCACGCACGCACGGTCACGCACACCCCACCCGTTCAGTGTAGGCAAACTGGGTGACAATGAAGAGAACCACACAGGTGAGAGACCCCTTTGGTCGGCATCCTTACCATCCTTCGGGTCGGGCACTCGTATGAGAAGCTCTACTTTAGATGTACCCCCGACTGGACGTGCGAGTGATGTTACAGAGGTGTTAGTTAATTTGAGTGAAAATTTACCTAGCGCGTTGAATGATTTAGCGACGGGCTCTGAAATGCCAGTACATGATGATTTTTCCGATGGTACTGAGAGTCACACAACATCACCACTGTACCAAGACATAGAAAGAGATTCTGAAGGAGATGGAGAGATCGGTGTGAGCAATATCAAGTCACAGCCTCTTCATGCTGAAGCAGCATTACAAGAGAACGAGCACTCGCACGTGTTCACGAATGCAAGAGAACACCTCGTGCACAATAGGGACAATGTGGCGTGTAGTAAGTTTCCACAAGATGCATCCACCAGATTATCGATCAGTAATACGAACACGGACGAGAGATTTGGTGCACTCAATCTGTCGGTAGAGGCGGGCAGCTTTAGTGAGGATGATAATACTGGATTTAGTGGCGATTCTCGTCTGCAAGCACGGCGGAGTTTGTACGAGGATGTGAATGTGAGTGAGAGCATAGATGAACTAGGTATCATCCAGCAATTCGCACAGAGACGCAACGGCGAGCGTAATCGTCGCACATCGGCATCCGCTGTTCAGCGTGGTCAGGAGCGCGCGAAGCTTAAACAAGGGGGTAGGTGGGCGCGTTCACAGTCTCAGGGTACATATGCGTTGCAGAATGGACACGTCAACGTGCATAGTCATACACAACAGCAACAGCCTCCTATGCACGTTTCCAGATCACCTTCACCTCTGACAATACAGTCGAGCAGGGGGAGTGGGAGCATGCAAGGTATTGCACCACACCCGTATCGTCCGTCTATAGCAGAAAACACACATGAAAATATTAATAGCAAAATCCAACGACGGCAGATGCACCCGGGCGGTGTGCAACGCCGGTATTCCGTAGACTCATCAGGTCTTTACAATCTTGACAGTAAGCAACAGCGTATGAGTAGCAACTGCAGCATTCAGCGCACACACACTGCAGGTTCCACAACAACTTCATCCCCAACATTCGGTCATCTGAGTGAAACACCTCCAGAGAGGCCTCGCTCTTCCCTTTCACACAATCGACCCATACACACACAAACACAAGCACACGCACAGGTACGCACTCAAGCTCAAGGTGTGGGAATGCACACCCAAACACAGCAATCTTGTATGGGAATGATGCCCTCAACTGGAGGTACCACAACTTATGGGCCATCGGGTGCAAGTCCTTCGCCACATCAGAGAACGACGCCGCACGGCAGCGTAGCTACCAGTAAGAGAGGAAACAGTAGCAAAACGCCATATGCTAAGGCCAGAGGTAGTTTAGGGTGGTCGGTTCTGGGTGTATCCGATTTCCGTGCCAAAGATCAGAAGCGCACGAACAGACGTGTTGGCGCGAAAGGCAAAACTAACTCAAGCACAAGTGTTAATATACGCCGTACTGCCAGTGCTGGCGTGACTGAGAAGGATATGCTGGCAAATGGTACTGCATAGAATACGTGAAAGTGACGGGGATACCATGATTTATACCAGCGCTATTGATTAGCCATGTTGTTGTATCAGGGAATGCAAGGAGGGTGTTTCACTATTGAGAGTGGAAAAAAATCTACATACGTTGCGAAATTAGCATTCGGATCTGCATTCGCAAGACAATAGTGGTGTAAACTGCAGTGTAGCGTCATACACGCAGGGGGTTTGGGCGGGGGATGAATATGTGTGAAGTTAAACACATGATGAGCAATTGCTGAGTGTCGCGTCGATTGTTTAAGCTGGACTTACAACACGCGGGTTTTTGTCAGCAGGTTGCTGTGTAGCGTTGAGGATGCTCCTTTCCGGACTTCATATTCCCACATTTTTTTACCCGTACGAATGCATCAAGGAACGAGCATCGTTGTGGTCATTCGTCATCATTAGTATGATTGGAACCTTGTGCAATGGGTACTGAGACGGGTACTGGCTTGTGCGCGTCTATCCTCACGATTCAACAGTGTATGCACTGTTTCATTCCTACGAGTCAATACATAAGGACGATCACTATGATGGGATATTTCCGGTTGCTGATGTTGGAGGCAGGTATACTAATAGTTCGATCGACCACGCGAAGGCTAGTCGAGCCTCCGTCATCTACTCTATCGCCAGAGGTACAACCATAAGTAGTATGAGCCTTGAGACTGAAATGGTCTCTTGCGCCACATCAATCGAATATTGTGTGCTATTACGGCAGTACGAGTCAGGTCGGAACACCAATCATATGGGTTAGAACAAGGAATCACATATTTGACTCACAAGCAAGACCACCCTTGAGGTTGGGTCAATTTTATAAGGGCAATTTGATTCCCACATACTTTATTTAGTTGCAAAGTGCAATAAGTTTTTCAAATTAATTAGTTACTGAGCCTTTATATGGCCTTAAGTGACAGAGCCGTTGTATGGCCTTAGTTAAATAGCCGTATATATGGCCAATTTTCATTCAAGTTATATCTTGAAGTGACAGTTACATTAAAATGTTGATCGGAAAGAGTTCAGTAAGGGGTCTGCATGGCTAAATATCGTCAAATCAAAGTTTCATACAAACACATCGAAAATCTATATTTTTAAATGCATACTCATATCATGAAGCAACTCGCTGTACTCTTTACTCTTTGGCGGATAGTAGCTATCCTGAAGCATGACCCTCGGTACTTGCAGCATTTAGTTCCATAAAGAGGTCCAGAACTTTAAAAGTGAGTTTATAATGTTCAGCATACGTTCATGGCCAGCATTCTATTTCAAAGTATAATTTAAAATACGATACCATCAAAATTATTTACTGACATAAAACTGAAATGCAGGAATACCTACCATACACACACACACACAAATACATATATATACATTTTATATATAAAAATATAAATACAAATATATACATACACACACACACACACACATATATATATATATATATATATATTGTTATTTATTTATACATATATATATATAAATATATACTTATTT